ATAAATGGAGCAGAAATTATTTGAATAACAAACCACGAACATTGTATAACGTTAGTGCATTAATAAACGCTTGTGTATATGAAAGCGTAAGTAATACAAAATTATAAATTGTTTGCAGTTTGCCGTCAGACTGCACGGTAATAAAATTAAATGGCGGCGTATATGTCTGTCTCGATCATTTGTGATTGTTTTACTGCTCGAATTTGTTCCGAGTGCTCGAATATTTGGCTTGTTCAATTAGACATTCAAGTGACGTATATTATGTCGACGGGAAGATCTAGTGTTGATTAAAATAGTTTGTAGACATTAATTTATTACATTAAGGAATATTTAATAACAAGCTGAATTCAGTACAGTGAGTGCTATTATTAAAACTTAAAAGGAACTTAGACTGAGCGTTGATTCATTTGAATTTCTTGTTTAAGCTCGACAACACCTAGACGGGTTAATTTTCTTGGCGAATGTTTAAATCTTTTGTTTTGCTACTTTGTTTACGCATTGAATACGCTAGAAAACTGAATAAGTAGGTAATGTCAGTTAGACGTTTACTTTTTTCTTTTCACAAGACAAAGAATCATACATAGATAGACTACATTGACTCTAGCATTATCGAAAAAAACTAAAATAAATCAAGAACATTCCTACGGCCTCGTGCCCAGCTGCCAACATAACGACTACTAGAGCAATAAGGTAATTAACAATAATATCACATGAGACATTCGTACAAAAAGTATGTCGGGTACACCTGTCAGATAGTTTAAACAAGTTATGTTAGACGCAATCACATTACTTGAAATAAAACGCAGCTGTCCGTATTACATCTTTGAGACAGGTTTCAAAAAGAGTTGCTCAACGCTTATGGAGAATCCAGGTGCATAATTGCCGGAGATTCATAAGTGTTAATAAGATAAGACTATTACAAGAACTCGAGCTACCTTACGACTTCGTGGAAAAACTGCTGTTACGATTTTCCAGAACTATTTTGTAGTTGACTCATTGCGAATAAACAGGTTTTATCTTTATTATGCCTACATGACGTAATCTTTACAACGAATAAATATAATCTTAAGTAGCAAGAAACGTCTCAAATGTCCTCCTACTGGACTATATTCATAAATGCACTTTCTAATCCTAACAAAAATGACAAAGCATTGAATATTTATTTCACCGTTACAACTAGTAAAGTAAACCAGACGGTACAAATGGTCTACATCAACGATATAATCAATGAAAAACTACCTGTTCTACATAGGAAAGAGTACAGGAACCACAAAGACCTTTTACACAAAAGCATGTGAATAAATAACCTACCCACGCCAAGTTAACAGCCTCCTACGCCATACAAAACACTTAATATAGTCGGGATAAATCTATAAAAATATATCCCTATAAAAATGTTTGCTTGCAATCAATGGACAATGCGATAACTGACTATAAACATGCAGTAAAATTTTAGAACTTATTTTTTTCGTTTTAGAACTTATTTTGCATAATATAAGAACGTGGGCTTAGAGCTTCGTTCACAATATTCAACGTTTATATGCATAGTATAAAATAATCTGATTATTTTGATCATTGGATGTCTTGAGTGGGGTACGTCGTACGTCGGACCGTACTTAGCCATTTAATCATTGTTAGACTGTGAAATTCAGGGCTTTTAATCTAGATGGTAGGTCCACAGAGAGAATACTAAATACCTTTTAGGTCTTACTCAAAATATCATTCATGTTAAGCGAAATTACCTATTGTAATTTTAATATGATTTACGATTTACGACTAACGAAGCATTTCCAATTCAGTTTATATTCATTGAAATGTATTTAAATTAAACAGAAATATAAATCAAGAGATTAAAAATGGAAAACTCTTGATCCATTAAAGTTCACGCTGTATATAAAAGCTTAATTAAAAACATCGTTAATAAATTCATCTAGCTAGATGTCAGAACCATCGACATAGTTCCCCGCGAGACTCAAGTCGCGAATCTTAAAAGCAATGCAAAATTTAAAAAGTTTCCGAAGAAAATTAAGGATCGCGACGAAAGAGGTTTTGAAAGCGCTGCCGAAGACTTGCACCATGTAACTTTGTTAGGCACGGTGAGTTACCTCGTTAACGGGCGCGTCGAAATATTACACAAGTAAAACTCAAATTAATCTAGGATGTTTTTTTCCAAAAAGGATATTCCTCTGCTAATGAGCTAGATTGTTAGCCGTCGCTCGACGTAGCCTTTGTGGCAACTGCTTCTGTTTAGCTTTCTGCAAACTTCATTAATGTGAATAACATTGTTTGGTATTTTTAAATGAAATTATTTATGCACCACCCATATTTTCTTTACTCGTTTGCAATTTAAAGAATAATGAAATAAGTCGGTGAAACTTATTCAGGTAAATTAGAGGGATCTGAAAACATTGCTGCTTATTATAGCTTTCGTTTGTAGTTAATTATCTCGTTTCAACGTTGTTATTTATATTCACACCTGGATCCATTTGAATAGTGAATTAAAAAATCATGTTGTATTTACGAGAATGATATTTCAATTTTAGCTCACGTCTATCAGTCAGGCAACCCCGCAGTGCGATTTATACTGTTGTTATTGGGTAATAAAGACATAAAGGCTCGTAGCTGGTCCCCCAAACAAGGTGTGCTTATCTGACTATCGATTGGAGCAGCTGTAACGGGCGGGACATATTACCCTGATTCTATTAACCACATGAATACGGGTGGTCTCGAGAAAATTACGACCTTTATGTCCAATCCGAGTACTTTTTTTGAAACCCACTTTATTATTTTACCATTCAAATGTCTCTGCATAAACAAGGCGAAGTGACTCTATCGAGTAAAACTTCACGCTTGTAATAATAAACGACAAAATAACGTAATTTATGTATCTACAACTTTGCTACACTGTTCTGCATAACAATGGCGTCGCAGAACAAAGTCAGTTGGGAAATGTAACCGAACGCGTTCGGGGGACGAAATTGAAACGATCACTTTTTGTTTTTCGAATTTTCTTATATCTAAATTCTTCTTTCAAAGAGTATCCACTATACGTAAGCGCCATTATAATATTAAAATAATTTCTTTATAAAACAGGTTGCGGTAATGAGATGTCCGTTGGGTGTCTGTCCATTATTTTTTATCTCCAAAGTTAATGAGGTGAATTCCTGCAGCAGATAATAAGTTGTAGTGTTATAATTAACGTCAAATAAAAGGTATTAGGCCATTATTCATGAAATTTTTATCTCAGAGGAAAATACATAAACAACAAGCAGAAAATATTTTGTCGATAGTAAAATACTAGCTCCAATTAGGAGATTTTTTAAGTTTGATAATAGTAAAACAAAATAAATGTGTGTTACATACAATATGTTCATGTGATTCGGGTGATTTTATGTCAAACTACTCGAAACCACAAACAGCACCAAAACGATTTGCAATCATTCGTCCATCATTTTAGCGACCATTTTATTTGTTCAATTGCGTTTGATAAAACCAACAACTGGTAACTGAGTTACAAGTTTTTAAGTATTTACTTATGTTTAAAACATATAAACTCGTATTAACATTCTACACGTGCCGTATAAATCCCCCAACATTTCTCACATCCCGCTTCCGTAACCTCACAGACGTTATACTATCTTTTTGTTCAGAACCAATGGAATTACAACATTAATCAGCCGAAATGAACCTTTTAGCGAAATGTCAAAAGGTTTACGGAGATCTTTGTAACAAGGCACGTATAGACGAAACAAAAGAACGTTCTGTCTGCACGGCTAGCGAGACGGGGAAATGAAATAGCTGCGGTAAGCGCTCGACACAAAATCAGGGGTCAATTTGATAGACTACTACAGACTATGTATTCGAAATTGATTTTATTGTCTGAATCAAACACAAAATAAGATCAATGAAAATACAATAGCGGTTCTTTATAAAATCTGAAGTTATTAACATTTTTTGTTGATAAAATATTTAATGTCGGTAACTCGATACTTTAAGTCCCTACATCCGTGAAGATTGATGCATGATGCAGTCGGACGCACCGATAGCAGTCAACCGGCTTTCTCTCAGATAAGCGGCGAGTCCGCTTTGTCTGACCACATTAATTTAAGGCTATGATATAAACCCGTTTAGAATTGTTAAATTGATTGTGTTCACCAAGTTATCGTAAACCTTTTTTATGACCGCACAGATCTTTACAGTTCTAAGTAACAATATTAAAGATAGCATGGCGCTTGCAAGCGGTCAAACAGAAAGGTACTTCAAAACGGAATCTAAATTTCCTGTTAGAATTGACCGAATGAGAAGTTGATTCGAATTCTAGCGCCGGCTTGTAACGTTCAGGTGTAGCACGGCGGGCGGCGGGCGTGGAGCGCGACTGGTCAAGCGGTCGCTACCGGCCCGGTCCGGTCGTCCGGCTGTCGGCCGCCCAAGCACACATTTCCGCTTGATTAGAGGACGTGCGAGTCGCCGAGGACACCTGCGCCATCTGTGCGCCGACTTTTCAGTGCGCTTTGTTTTGGAATTCTGAACGTTACCCCGACGAAGTTTTATCGCTGAGGACCGGCGCGATGCGGGCACCGTTTGACTTTTGCCCGACAGAAACGAAATTTCACTGCGATATATTTCGTTTTATTTCATCAGCGATTTCCTTTTCGAATGCGGAGGACATGGGCTAATTTTCGTAATGTTTTTATGACGTTGTTTTCTGTCTAGCCCTTTTGCTATCAAATATAGTTTGTGAAGAGTATTTCATGTTGCGAGTATAATTTACATGACATTTTCTATAATATTCACAGAAATGGGAAAGAAAACGAATTACGAGGGTGTATAAAAGTTATTGCTTGTTTATGGAGGTCTGTTTTTATAGGGCCCTGAGGGAGGAACTTATCGATGCTTTATAATGTAACGGTTATCCGGAAAGATAATAAAGTTTTTGGGTTAAATACATTACAGATGTAAATGAACGCCTTTATTTATAACAATGTTTTCTTTTGTTTCAGGATTTTTTTGGTTACTTTGAGCACATGATCTCAAGTATCGCGACATTATAACATCAAGCTGCCCTGCCCGCAATTAGGTAAGCATTTACTGATTTAATACAAATATTTCATGTAAATTATTCTGCTAACAAACAGTAATAAATGTTGATCTTACCAATAAGTCTAAAAAGGAGAAACTCATTGCTAACAAGCTTTTTTCGGTAAACAACACAAATTGTTTATTTTGTAAGAAAAATTGTTACGAAAAACGTGGAAAAGACAAAACAAGAAAGCATCTGCGGGCCGTTACCCAAGTTTTCCTTGTGAAGGCATCAATCCGCCATCAAATTGCGTAGAAAGGGGTAATTTGTATCTTTTTTTTCAATAAAACAACACCTGTGCCCTGGCCATTTGTGTTCCCTCTAAGCTGAGAGCTTTGTAAATGTTGCACCATTTGTAGCGGAATTGAAAAACTGTTTCGTTTCTCAGTCGCAACAGTTTGTCGTGTGGTGTACAGCTAGCCTTATTTGTCACTGTACTCCTTTATTTTTGTTGAGTACATGTGTCGTGCTAGTGTTGTTGTTTAATAATAACTTTGGGACTCGGTAATTACTTGGATAATACTAGGTCCATGTGGACAATTATGTAATTTTGTTACCGCTTCAACTTATTTTGTTTTATTTACTTCCAACCCCTTTAAACGCCTTTTAAAATCAGGTCGTTGGAATAGATACAAGTTGACATACTTTACTTTTTGTACTATAAACAGAACGAGAGTTAACTTGTGCTTAAGAACTACAATAACTTAATACCTTCGCACTGAAACTCTATAGAAAACACGTCAATTCATATCCACATTACTGACACTATGAATACAATCGAAAAATAAACTTTACGGCTGTCCGAAATAAAGCTATTACCATAATGCGCCAGTCAACAATACAACACATCAATAAGCAATGACAAACCCAGTCAATTGGCCTTAATAAATTACTATTAGTAAAATAACTATTATAATAAAGATACACGAAGCGTATATTTCCTTTTATTTCTTTATGACTATTCGAGGGTCCATGTTTGTTCCGTACACTGGCGTTCAAAATATATGACCAATCATTTTTCAACGACACTCGCTTTTAGACAGATTTAAAGCATGGTTTGAATGACGCGTATTTCGAATGTGTCAATCACACGTATGGCCGCCCCTAAATGTACAGTGGCGTTGTACATCAGGGATTCGTCCAAAATTGTTGCCAGCGAGTGTACTGATTAGAGTTCAGCTTCGCGTTGTAGAAGTTAATTAGATGCGGTGGTCTGATGAATTTGATTTTATGCTTATTATTGTTAAATATTATGATATTTCGAGGAGTTGTTGTTTTAGTAATTCAATCACAATTTTTAACGTTCTATTTTTGCTCTAAAAATACTTACAATAAGACACATATTATTTATAAATCGTCCTAAATAAAGAAATAAAAGATACAAAAAATCTTCTAAAATATTGAGAACATGAGTACGATTTTGCCGATACACATTGTAAACTAACAAACTAGAACGATATTACATTTAGGTACATCAATCGATGATGTTGATGTAAAGCCAACACCATTAAAACTAGACTAAACAAAAACTGTCTAGAACAAAGGGTAAGGTCACTTTCTAGGTCACTGTGATGTAATGAACATTTTAATGTCCAATTAGTACTAACAACGAAAAGTAGACTAATAAATAAAAAACTGAGTCTAACCTCTCACCTAATTCGAAGTTCATAAACAATTCAAGTAGGTAACACAAAAAGAACGAAATTAAACGCTAAGAATTACTGCAGAAGGTACAAAATGTAGTGCCGCGTTTAATTTCATACAAATTTTAGTTTGCCTCGATTATTTAGCAATCTTCTTGATTAAGGGCGCATTCGTAGCGGTAGGAAGGCAAATAGAACTAGCGAGTGTTCCACAATGAATATTTATGTTCTCACCGATGTCATTTAGAATGAGGTATGTTCGTTTAAATTGGACACAGTCTTTGGTAGGTCTCGTGTTTATTACACTGGCTATGTATGAGATTCCTTTTATGACGACCAAAATAATGACAAGTTAATGCTAGTACTTACAACTGCAGATTTCTTATAAACACGTTATGTAAACCATTTACAATATCATTACGAACATAATATAATTGCAGAATTCCATAACAAAATTCTTATTCCACCGACAAAAGTGAATGAAATGATAATAACTACTTAAACAGATTAATTCACGATTTATTTAACTTGACCGCGAGCTTGGCCGGCCTCGGTGCTCGGAACCTCAGACAACATAATTACTTAATGAAATCTGGAAATTACGTAAGTTATTTTAATCCGTATTGTTTCCTTTGAGAAAATGACGGAGCAAGATAATATTGTAAGGACCTGGTACTGTGATATTATGCTCATCATTCTCACTGCAATGACGGACAAGATTATTTTTCCCTCGTTTCATTTTCCACAGGCTTGTTTATTTTCTTAGATGATGTAGCGGAATTTTAATTAAAGCTATGTAGGTCAAGGTGTTGCTTGTAGCGCTTTTACGTAAAGGTTGCCTATTTTCACAGTCTTTTAGCAGCACGAGAGCGGATGTTTTAGCGCTAAATTAGGTGATGCTACCGGCTTTGTCTCTATTATCGTTTGAGCTCTTGTTACTTGTAAACTTTCATCAAACCTCCGTAAATCTTCCAACATTATAAAGTGATAAGTTTAACCGATTGAATGTCTTAATTTAAGTAAACCAGAATGTAAATCTGTAAAGTAATTTAAACTTTAAAACGTAAATCTTTATTCTCAAGTTTCATTGAACTTCGCCAAAGGTTATTGTATCTCAAAGCGGCAAATTATCCATCTCCAATTTCTCGCAATTTACTAACTTGTAGTAACAAAGGTTAATAGCAGTTACCTATTTCAAATCAGAGCTTCGATATAAAATTTTATGGTCCGATTCCACTATCGTTGGGAGTGGCAATAGCTTCAATATTTACTTCGTAGGTGATACCTGATTCGATAGACGTTACCTTTAGTATGTAGATTTCAGGGCTTGCTTCGTCGTTCTACTGATCTCTAGATAGGTCCATGCGGGCTCTAAATTGAGGCTCGACGGCCGGCCGACATAATGTTCTTGCAGCGACATGCTTTTGTCAGGGCGATTCAAAGGTGGTTGTCCGTAAGTGGGTCAGCTGGGATTTGCGTTCGATGTATTCAGTTATATGTGCCTTGCAGCTATTGTGGCCCGCTCTTTGTTAGACCTTTTAGCTTTGCGACAGCTATTTAGTGTACGTGCTTCGTTGTTTACCCCAAACTCTCTAAAGCTATGTATAAAACTAAAAATCTATACGAACCGATGGCCTCGTTTTTACGTTGAACTTTTTTGCTGACGACACGGAATATTTTTGTGTAAATACCGCCACTTTTCGCAACAATACGTTCACATGGCCGAGTTTTTTTGTCATTGTTGTACACAAACACAATGCGACTTCAATGTTTGGACGCGTTGGAAACGATTGTTTTACGTATATCCGATTGGTCAGGGGCGGGTAACAATAAAAAGCGGTCGTGAAAAATCAAAAGTGCCCGCTGTGGCCGTCGTAAAGTATTTTTGGTGTTTCGAAACCTTCATGTTTTAGAAATGGGCCGTCAAAACAAATGGCGGGTGAAAAATACAAGGGAATATAAACAAAGGCTTGTTTGGTCGTAGGTTGTTCGGCGTGGGGTGGCAAGCGCCTCATTTCGACAGGCGGATAAGTGCGGCCGTAATCTGTGCCGGAGCTCGTGTAAATGCAAATTGTCCCATAAAGCCATCGCTCGCCCCGTCCCGCCCCGCCCTTCGCTCTTAATGAAGAGGAGCATCTCGGACGGAAGCCCACGTCCGTCATCTCCACAGCGGTTTACGTGGCCTGTAGATACATGACGAAATTAGATTCGCTCCGAAATTGGTTTGCATACATGTTGCAATTAGGCGCGAGATTCCAGGCTGACACGTTTTTGGGTTTGATTCCCTTTGAAGGGGGTAATTCGGTTAGCAGTAAAGCTGTAACAGATTAACCCTCACAAAACCTCTAACAAACCTTTTATAAATTCATTATACTTTTATATAATATCCTTTCTACGCGTGCAAGGTCGAAACAAAAGTTCGACGAGGAAAACCGCAAACTATTTGGTCGGGAAAATACAAATGAATACACTTTGATTAAGTTCATCAACAGCAAAAGGTGCTGTTTTTATGACAATGATAACATGAAGTTTATGAGTATTGTAGTTTCTGGCACTGCGAGAATAATGGTGCATTTATCTCGACTTGTGCGATTTTTTTGAGGCAATGTGGATTTAGACTAGAGAAACTGACGCGCTATCGACTGTAGGGTTAATTACCTATACTAGGACAGCAATAGCCTAGGCCTAATACAAAATTGGTCATCTTATATTTAAATGAAAAATATTTTCATACATAATGTTCTACACCACTCCATAACACCGGCACATCCCTATGTTTAATTTTATTGCCACCTAGTTAAGTCTAGGGCTGTCCAAAACCATCCAATTTATGTTATACTAAATTAACAGTTCCATGCTGTTATTGGAAACCGTCGGTGACTGTACTCTGTAATCAGTTTCACTGACTTACTGCGGCGCGGCCTATTACCGGCCATTATCCTAACGATTACGTTTATTTTAATTACTCTGATTGGATCCGATAACGAACGATGTGAATCGGTTATGATTCTTCTATATTATTGTTTTTATTATTCTGTATATTTGTGAGTTGAGGTATAAATGTGAAATCAGTTTTCTTTTACGAGTATTTTATGCACGAAAACGTCTTTTACTGCAAGTTACAATAACTTAATTGTTACCGTTCCACATTTGATTTTCACAAATATCTACTCGTAAATATAACTGTAACTACAATTCTAACATCACCATACTTCCCAATGTTCCCTACTTTAGATACTACACAAACACCTAACCGCCACCCGATTCAATAAAGCAACATTATGCTCACAAATTAATTCCTAACTACCGAGCACTTGCTCTGAATGGCCCTATTCTGATTATCAATAACGTTTT